CATCTCCCCTCATCTGCCATGCTTGCACAAGAGTAAGAGTAACTTCGATATGCAATTCAGGTGTGGAATGGGCTAGCGGTTAGCTCGTCGATTACTGCACAATGGTTGTTTGTTTGATCTCCGCGAATATTTTTGCGCTCGCTTAACAAGCGCTATTTCTACTCAAAAAAGTGTTCCGCGGATAACGAACATAGTTCCGTGATCAACTCTCAAGACGAGTATCCTGATGCATACCACATTAAGGGCCGTGGCCACCAGTAACAGTACCCTTGTAAGTTGCCAAAATGAGTGTAATTTCAAGCACTAACTGAAGAACAGGGGTGTATGTTAAATTTTGCGATTTCAAATAGATTGGCGTGCAAATCAAAAAATACACTACGGAGGCCGCCGCATGCGTAAACATATTGCGCATGCGAGTAACAGCTCCAAGCTAGACAACGTCTGAATTTCTCTCTGCGCTTTGTAGAGTAGTTCAAAACGAAGATCGTATTTTCGCCCTTCTGATGGGAATGTTCGAAACACGTTTAGGGCACCTGCATGTGGATGATTCAAAACATTTTTTATGTTTGGTTTTGCCCAAAGGTTTTGGTTTTTGGTCCAGAAGTTTTCGCTTCAAGACAACGGTTCCGAAACTTCGAAAAGCTAAAACCGCATTGCTCAGGAGCGTATCTTCTAGGCCTACTTCGCTAACACCATGTGATCAAGCAACTAAAGGAGATCTTGTTGTTCGTTCTCATCTTCTGTCAGTTGTCAGAACTGGAATGGTAAGAAGACGGTGAGTTCTGATTAGTCATTTTGAACACTGATGAAGTATGCTACTTGCTTACAACTAGCAGATACTTATCAGACAGTAAGCGAATTGAGGTGCCTGGATTTTTTGATGGGGACTGACTGTTAGCCTACAACCAAGTCACTCTCAAAACAGAAGCCCAGGTTCATTCTTAGAAATGAAATACAGCAAGCTTTAGCCCCCGTATTCTCCGTCGTATGCGAAGGAGCTGATTGGCCCGCTGGAGTGAAGTACGGTATTGAAGTACGGTTTTATGGTGCTACGAATAAAAAATGAGTTGCAGTCCAGTTGGCTTATCTGAGGCCGTCATGGGCACCCTCTCAAGAACTGGATACCCATATTTTCATGTGCAGTGTCTCTAAAGTCAGCTATACTTTCTAAAAAATCTAGAAAATTGGTCAGAACACAGAAACCGCCACCCCCAGCCTTTCGAACAGCTAGGATACGTTATCGTTTGATCTCTGGTGAAAACATAAACACCACAAGCTCCTCTCCATTCATGCAGTAACTGTCATATTTTCGTGCGAGGTTCTGCAGTGTGGTGATCTGCGTGAGTCTCTCCTCTAGGGACCGCATCATCGACAAAAGTTTTGTCATGTCGTCAGGTGGGATGTCAAGGACAGCGGCACCAACACCGCATATGAAAGAGCTGAAAGACGTCAAAGACGTCAAAGAGCAGGATGCTCAGCATAGTCGTGAGTTTGCGGCTAAGGACTACCAAACCTTACGAAAACACTTGTTCCAGAACACGACATGCCTCCGTTTCTTCAACAACAGCCGATCACAACTCCTGCACCGCTTCGCCTGACGAATGTAAATCCGTTGGTTCTTGTCTTTGACGGTCCGCCGAATGCTCAGTGCCAAAAATCACTAAATATTACGTAAGCTATCGAGATTCTTTATCAGAATATGTTCTAAAGCTAACTAGCATCTTTCAGAAACGCTTCCAATGATCGCATTGCTTGGCGGGTACTCTCCAATGCCCCTACTCGCTATGTCGTTTCGCCAAATAAAGGATTTCTTTTCAAACAAGAGCGAATAGCTGTGAGAACAGACATTATGAAAAATGCAAGGCAATAAAATAACAGACTTCTCCACAGGTGCAAGTGATCCTTCTCAACGGATCAAAATATCATCGCCGTCATGCTTTTGTCGTTCAAGTAAAGCCAGCAAGATTGGAAGAGAACAACCGCAAAGTGAGGGATCTAGCCCTAAATGAGTACGGCTTCAAGGAAAGCTTGATTTTAGTTGACTTGGAGAGATATGTCGGCCGCAGAAGCGAAATTTGTCCAAAATACCAGGATTGGAACAATGTATGTGTTCCATTTCTACTGTAACCTCTTACCGCTATTCTTTTCAGGTGTACAACTACTCCGGA